ATTTTTATTTTATTGGAATATTGTAACATATTATAAATAAATAGATATTTGAATTAGAAAAAAAATAGGTTGGAAAAAGTTGATTTATTAAGTTAAAAAGATAAAAATAAACATCTGTTTGAAAAGCAAGAAAAAAAAGAAAGACTGATTATTTGTTCTATTAAAAGATCAAATAAGAGTTGGATTCTTCTAAAACATAAACTTCTTTGTTAATAATAATTGATTAGATTAATGAGATAACAATTAGGTATAATAATCCGAAAGAAACGATTTATAAATTTATAAAATAAGTATTAAAATACATGAATTCATCTCAAAATGCCGATTAACAGATTCATATATATCCATATTTAATGAATCAGTTGACTTATAGATGGAATTACAGAAAGAAGTGAAGTGTATATAATGCAAAATTGATTTTTTCTTTACTTTTAGTTTAATAGTATAAGCAATCTTCAACATTTTTTTCGCATCCACTTTAATTATTAGAGTTGTCCTCACATGCCTAGCCTCTGCATTTTTTGGTAATATCTTAAAAAAATACTAAAAATTTTCAGTACTTATACTATCATAACTTGTAGAAGCACCTTGTGTAGCACATTTATTTTCCCAAATATAAGTATACTCTAAATCGGTTTTGTCTTTTAATGTATCTCATATAGTTACATTATTTGTGACATTCTAACTTCATAATTTTAGAAGCTGCTAATCTTGGAGTAAAAAGATAAGTTAGTAGATGTTAATAATTTACAATAAACATCCCTTTTTACTTGTTTCTGACGCTGAAACCATAACAAATCCATTATTTTATTATAACATATATGCATTTCTTCAATCACATGAAATTTTTGATGTCGGATGAGAATATCTGACAATCATAATATATACTGGCTAGTGTATCTTTGGTATAGGCACACTTTCTAATTAATAGTATTTACTTTTCTATTAAAATAGGGAAATTTTTAACTTGGATCAGTAGGGGGTGTGGCATATTTTGAGTGCACATTAAGCAACACATCTATTATTTTGTGCAGACTTAATCGTAGTTTAACAGAATATTGCTTTCCCACTGCCACAACAGTATCAATTGGAACAATAATGTCAAGCAATTTCTGATATTTTATTAGTACTCATTTTTCATAAGAAAATCAGCAACTTTCTTTAAATGATATTTAATTGATATTTTCAAGAATCTGAAAATGGATTTATCATTTGCAGCCTGAATAACTATTTGGATTTTTGATATCTGCCCAAGTTCTGTCTAAGCAAGCAATAATATTTTCTGAATTATCTGAGAAATTGTGAAATTTTTACCTAGTTCTTGTTGTCTTATCAACACATCCTCCTGTAGATTTAGCAAAAAAAACTGTTTTTATTTTTTTTGCATATTTCAGTTGTATTAGCATCTGCATTATCTGACATTATAAGTTTAGTTTTTAACTAATTTTTCATATTACCATTTCTGTTCATTATCTTTCTTCCAAATTAATATTTAAAATAAATCCGTATAAACCAATTTATTTTCAGATTAAACATAAACAATAAATATCATTTGTATGTTTATTAAATGAATATAAAAAGTATAGTTGGCTCTATAAAAAATCAACTTTCCAAACTTTAATTGAATGATCTCATCTTGAAATAAATTGGTCTTCAGATTCATTTAAAATCAAACAATCTATGCAATCAGTATGTTATCATCATAATTAGGAATTCTTTCATTCTTTATTATTTAGTTAATTCCAACAACATATTGATTTATGAAACCAGTTGATAGGAAACTATTGTTCTTTCTACTAATTTGCAGACAAGTAATCTGGCCATTATGAGGGCTAAGAGTTGTAATTTTATTCAAACTTCCACTACAACCAGATGTTGATAACATAAGTGAATTAGATAAATTAAATGAAAATGCCTAAAATTAATCTAATTTTTTAATTGAATCATCAAATAATTTCAGATGAGGAAAAAGTTTACATTTTATAAAGTTTTTCGCATTATGAATAAAAATCTTAGTTTTTAACATTGGATATTTTGATATTAATTTTGGCACTAAGTGAAGTATTAAGTAATTTAATTTCTTCAATAAATGATTCTAAAATAATTAGATTATCTTTGGGATTATTAATTAATACTTTTAATTCATCAAGGAAACCATATGATGAACTAGCTTACCCAATAACCTTAAGGTTTTTAATTCAATCAATCGAAAAAGATAACAATTCATCTAATTATTAATTAAGTTCTTTATGAATTTGGTTTATTAATTATTCCACTATTTCCTAATTGGTTTTTATGAATTCACATATATTATTTAATTTAGACTATTATTTTTCTTCAATCATTTTAAGTACCTTTTTAAATCCAATGATTTTACTTCAATATTTTCTAGGCAATGTGCACACAAAAGACGTTCTTCCATCTTTATCTTTTTATCAAATATAATCATGAGAATTGGTTACTTATGATTTTAACTGCAGTTAAGCTAATTTCTAATTCTATTATTTTTGGTTAAAGCATAATTAATAATTCAATTTTTTTTTTAAATGGTTTAATTTTTATATTCATCAGGCTTTTAATTATTTTTTCTGAAAAATTTATTTTCTGTTTTTTATTCATAATTAAATTATGATGTCTCATGATCACCTGAACAATTCAATATATTATTATTAATATTTATATAAATCCATAATCATTTCGATCATTAAAGATTTTCATATTACTGAATCATATTAGTATTTTCTTCAAATCTTTTATTTCCTTTTCTTTTTAACTTTTTTAAATTTAATATTACTCTTTAATTGATCGTTAACATTCTTATTGTCTGATTCTTTTAAAGTTTGTTTGAATATACATTATAAACGGATAGAAATTTACTGATTAAGAAGCAATTAAATTTGTCTAAAGTGGTACATAGAATATTAGAATATATCCTAATCCTAATTACAAATTTAAAGGAATCAATCAATATGATTTGTAAATCAATACTTAAATCCTTTTGGATGTATTTGAAAAAGGAATACTTCTATGTAAAATTAAATTGATACTACAACATAATATTTTATAAGTAGAAGTATAATATTGATAAATCAATGCTATTTTTTAAGATAAAGAAAATGCACAAATAGTTGTAAGAAAAATAATTACTTAAAGTTTCACGAAATTTAAATTTAGTAACATTTTTCATTAATCCAAGTAGAAAAAAACGAATTCATGTAGAAGATTTTTCTCATCTTTCAGGTTGAATAATACATTTACTATCAAATTAATTAATAATATCAGAATTAAATTGAAATTTATGCATTTTCTAATTATTATACAAATTTGTTTAATTTTTATTTAAATATTAATTATGTAAAATTGTTATTTATAATGATAAATATCAAAATATCTCAGCTTGAAAAAATAGAGTATTTAGCTTTAAAAAAGATTAAAAATGGATTTGAGATAGGAGTAAGATAAATACCAATTGAAATTCATTTTGTTAATAAAAATTAAATAGCATATAATTTTAAGAATGTAATACATTAATCCCCCTTATAAATATAATGAGGAAATCGATAGTTTTTATTTCTAACCAAGAATATCGAAACTCTAAAATAAATAACCTATCTAAATTGGAAAATTGAGTGTATAAAATAATCAAACTAAATTGGAAAATGGATGACTACTTGGAAAACTAAATACATTTTAAGTTTTGGTCATTAAAGGAAATGAATAGGTAATTTTTTAAAAAGAGATTATATCGTAATAGAATTAGAAAATAATAAATAAATTTATATAATTTTCCATATTTTGAGGAGAAAATAAAATAAGGAATATGGCAAGAAGCTATTGATAATTATTGGAGGTAATGAATAATTCAATTTTAAAAGTAAAGCTGAAATCTCATATATTGGAGTTTATTAAAACAATATGAAAAGTGGATTTTGCAAAATAATGATAGGAAAGAAATAGATTTATTTTAAATAATATTTCATAGAGTTGGAGGATAATATAATGAATAAGGAATGAAGTATGGTAAATGGATAGAACAGAGTGATGACTTTTGGATGTATAAATAATAAATTAATATAATAGTGAAAATTAAGTAACTTATAATTGTGAATGTATTGATGGTAAAAAATATGGATTATGGAATATTTTATTGAGACAGAAATATATGTAATAATAATTAATATTTATATAATTTAGAGGTGGTGGAGTATATGATAAAAATGGATTGAAGGATAGAAATTGGGTAGATTTAAGTGACGGGTTTTGCAAGTATGCAACTTATTTTTATTTTAATATTCTAGTGGATTATAATTCATTTTCAGAGCTTTTGTTTAAGATTTTCAAAAAAGAAATTGCGATCATTTACTAATATATAATACTTTTTTTTCTAGAAATGAGTGTATTTGGAATGAAGGATGGTAATTGGGTTGAATTGAAATCTATTAATCATAAAAAATTTTGCATTAATTATTATTATCAATATCTTAGCAAACGATTTGTTACATTTATTGGAAATTATATGGGCAAGAGAAAATATGGCAGATGGGACATAAAATATAAAGGGGAATTCATGTAAAGAGAATATAAAATAATTCAAGTGGAGGAGGAAATTATTATGAAAACCAAGTGAAAAATTGTAAATGGATTGAAATAAGTGATTCATTTATGACGTAAATAATAATATTCCTATTTCTTAGGGAAAATTAAATAATTTATAAAGTTGAATATAAAAATAGTCAAAAATTTGGAAAATGGAACATGATGTTTAGGATTTTGGGAGAATAAAAATTTTAGTTAATAATTGATACAGTAAAATTTAAGAGGTGGATCATATGATGAAAACGGATAAAAGACTGGAAATTGGATAGAGTTGAGCGATAATTTTTCGACGTATTTATTAAATTTAATAAGAGATTTATCTAAATTACTTTTGAAGGTGAGTATCTTAATGGAAAAAAGATTTAAAAACGGAGAACTTTACATATAAATTTGTATGAGGATAAAATGAAGAAAATTTAAGGATTATTTAATGTTAGTGGTGGTGGATTATATGATAATAATGGAATGAAAGATGGGAAATGGGTGGAAATGTTTGATAACATTTTGTAGTATGAAAATATTTTCATTATAAAGATACAAAGAATTCATATGTAATGGCAAATATAATGAAAGAAGAAAATAAGGAAGTTGGGATTATAAAATAAAAAAGAAAGAATACATGTAAGAATGATAAAATTAATTTTAAGTGGTGGTGGATCATATAATTAAAATGGAAAGAAAAATGGTATTTGGTTAGAGTTAGGTGATTATTGTAAAGAGTATGAAGTTATTTAATTAAGGATTTTTAAATTATTTAGATTGGAAAATATAATAATGGTGAAAAATGTGGAAAATGAGAGATAATGTCAAGAAAAGATAAAAAAGAGCATTTGTAAAAGGTATATATAATTGTTATTATTTTCCATTATTAGCAGTGAAGAATTTTATGATATAGCAAATAACAAGAAATGAAAATTCTTTAATACATTAAATTATCAAATATTATTTTAA